GGGAGAGAAAGGGAGAGAAAGGGAGAGAAAGGGAGAGAAAGGGAGAGAAAGGGAGAGAAAGGGAGAGAAAGGGAGAGAAAGGGAGAGAAAGGGAGAGAAAGGGAGAGAAAGGGAGAGAAAGGGAGAGAAAGGGAGAGAAAGGGAGAGAAAGGGAGAGAGGGAGAGAGAGGGAGAGAGGGAGAGAGGGAGAGAGGGAGAGAGGGAGAGAGGGAGAGAGGGGGGGAGGGAGGGAGGGAGGGAGGATGGGAGGGATGGGAGGGATGGGAGGGATGGGAGGGATGGGAGGGATGGGGGGGATGGGAGGGATGGGAGGGATGGAGGGGAGGGAGGATTTAGCCCCATAAACTTGATGGGCTTGCTCAAGCCCTTCAGCTAGTCTCTTAGTCGCTGCCTGCGCGAGACCTTTCGATCTTTGTGAAATTTAGAGCCATGTTTCGCTTCTTGATTGTGGCGCTGTCTCCCTTCGCTTCCGCCGTACGTGGCACCATGATGGACGCCGACATCAAGACAGAGGATTTTGATGGGGGAAAGCTGGGCCTCAGTTGCTTCCACAAAGTGGCCCGCCTCCTTCTTGATTGTTTTGAGGCGTCTTTAGGTATGTCTTTTGGGGACGGCGTTGGGGTCTTGTTTTTTTCTCCCCACCCGACAGGTTTGCTAAGGTGTCACTTTGAGCTTACGGAGTTATAAGTTGTACTTATGTTGGCTTATGCGGAGTTATGTTAAGTTCGTCGTAAGCTCAAGCATGTTCTTTACAAAACAGCCTCAGACATAGGAGTTGCCTCACGTTGCGACTTTTTAGCATGGTCTTAGTCAGCTGGCGCTTTGTTTTCATCGCAGCAGCCACCTTTTTGTTGTGACACGGAACCATTTTCTGCGCGGACATGTGGCACTGATGACATCAAGAAACATAGGTCAACTCCTCTCTTTGTGCTAGCCAAACTCACACGCTTGACTGGCGGAGCCGAAATCTCAGAGGTCATGTGTCAAATCATTCTGACCAGTGGCCTGGTCAGACACAAACAGTGTTTACAAGAGTGCTATAGGAAGCGGGTTCAACAAGCGAAACGGACCGCAACGCACTTGGGTTGCCCCATAAACTTTTGCGCCACGTATGATTTGATAGACTGGCGCTCCGTCTTGTCCGTGAAGCTGTGCTTTGCTGAATACGGTTCTGCGGTGGCGTGTGTGTGTGTTTGCAACACGCAAGCTGTTCTGTTTTCCACCTTCACATCGGCGTTCGCGTGAGGCTCCTGGTGTTGCGTGCTTGCTTGAATAATCCTTTTTGTCATTTGCTTCTACGATTCTGGGTCCTTTCAGCAATACAACTGTTTACAGCTGTAAAGAGAATCACATGGAACCGACCGTTGCAGGGATCCACCCACCACACCAAAGCAAGAACGGCCTTCGCAGGACCTCTATACTGCCCATGCCTTCCAAATGGTACGCCGCTACACGAAGTTGCAGATGACGGAGGCGCAAGCTTTGAGCTGACGCAGCCGCTTCGGATGCGAGGGCTTGGTTGGTCACATGCGCGCTAAGACTGGGTCAAAGAAGCAACTCCAGATGCCCATTTTCACTGGCTGGTCTTCGGTTTTGCAACAGCTGATCGCTCGCCAAATAGCCATGGTTGACGTACTCGGGCAGTTGTATACGGGGGGGCGTCAGCTTCATGCGCCTTGCCACTAGCCCAAAAAGGGAAGAATCTTGGCCCCGGAGTGCGTGAATGTTTTCATGTGTCCCATGTGTGTGTGTGTGTGTCTGCGTGTGTCTGTGTGTGTGTCTGTGTGTGTGGCTGTTTGTGTGTCTGTGTCTGTGTCTGTGTCTGTGTCTGTGTCTGTGTCTGTGTCTGCGTCTGCGTCTGTGTCTGTGTCTGTGTCTGTGTCTGTGTCTGTGTCTGTGTCTGTGTCTGTGCCTGTGCTTGTGCCTGTGTCTGCGTCTGTGTCTCTGTCTGTGTCTGTGTCTGTGTCTGTGCCTGTGCCTGTGCCTGTGCCTGTGCCCATGCCCGTGCCAGTGTCTGTGTCTGTCTCTGTCTGTGTCTGCGTCTGTGTCTGCGTTTGTGTCTGTGCCTGTGTCTGTGTCAGTGTCTGTGTGTGTGTGTGTTTCCGTGTCTGTGTCTATGTCTGTGCTTGTGTCTGCGTGTGTTTGTGTGTGTGTGTGTGTGTGTCTGTGTGTGTCTCTTTGTGTGTGCGTGCGTGCGTGCGTGCGTGGGTGTGGGTGTGGGTGTGGGTGTGGGTGTGGGTGTGGGTGTGGGTGTGGGTGTGGGTGTGGGTGTGGGTGTGGTGGTGGGTGTGGGTGTGGGTGTGGGTGTGGGTGTGGGTGTGGGTGTGGGTGTGGGTGTGGGTGTGGTTGTGGGTGTGGGTGTGGTTGTGTGTGTCTGTGTCTGTGTCTGTGTCTGTGTCTGTGTCTGTGTCTGTGTCGGTGTCTGTGTCTGTGTCTGTGTCTGTGTCGGTGTCTGTGTCTGTGTCTGTGTCTGTGTCTGTGTCTGTGTCTGTGTCTGTGTCTGTGTCTGTGTCTGTGTCTGTGTCTGTGTCTGTGTCTGTGTCTGTGTCTGTGTCTGTGTCTGTGTCTGTGTCAGTGTCCGTGTCAGTGTCCGTGTCTGTGTCTGTGTCTGTGTCTGTGTCTGTGTCTGTGTCTGTGTCTGTGTCTGTGTCTGTGTCTGTGTCTGTGTCTGTGTTCTGTGTCTGTGTCTGTGTCTGTTTCTGTGTCTGTGTCTGTGTCTGTGTCTGTGTCTGTGTCTGTGTCTGTGTCTGTGTCTGTGTCTGTGTCTGTGTCTGTGTCTGTGTCTGTGTCTGTGTCTGTGTCTGTGTCTGTGTCTGTGTCTGTGTCTGTGTCTGTGTCTGTGTCTGTGTCTGGTCTGTGTCTGTGTCTGTGTCTGTGTCTGTGTCTGTGTCTGTGTCTGTGTCTGTGTCTGTGTCTGTGTCTGTGTCTGTGGCTGTGTCTGTGTCTGTGGCTGTGTCTGTGTCTGTGTCTGTGTCTGTGTCTGTGTCTGTGTCTGTGTCTGTGTCTGTGTCTGTGTCTGTGTCTGTGTCTGTGTCTGTGTCTGTGTCTGTGTCTGTGTCTGTGTCTGTGTCTGTGTCTGTGTCTGTGTCTGTGTCTGTGCCTGTGTCTGTGCCTGTGCCTGTGCCTGTGCCTGTGCCTGTGCCTGTGCCTGTGTCTGAGTCTGTGCCTGTGTCTGTGTCTGTGTCTGTGCCTGTGTCTGTGTGCCTGCTGCTTCTTCATGGTGGGGAGGGTCGTCGCTGTTGTGGCCCCTGGTTCGTCACAGTCGGGTCTGGGCTGGCACCATGGGCGACGGGCGCTTCTTTCCTTGCAGGTTGGCCCAAGACCACGCACGAAGCCACCTGCAAATCGCACCCACTGCGCCTCAACCCCAGCCAAAAGACGCCATCCCCAACTATTTTTTGAATAAACTGATTCGCGTGTGGGCGTCGTGCTAAAGCCCATGCACTCGGTTTAGGAGTCCGAATTTCTAGGCTTACGCGGCATGAGCCTCCCATTGTGCGCGCGCAAGAGACGCAGAAGGGCAGTGAAAGAGATGCGGAAGGGCCAGGCTTGTGACACAAACCGAAACGGGCAAAGGGGAGACGCAGCCGCAAGTCAAGCGCAGTTCCCTTCGTTGCTGTGAAAGCCAGCCTAACAGCAAAAGCTACCAACGATGAATTTCGATAGTTTCACGGAAAAGGCGCGGAAGACGGGTTTGTGCAGGCACCCGTTCCCCCCTTCGCCCTCCTTATGCAGTAGTCTTCCCCAAAGCGGCTGTGTCCACGTCCTTGGAACTAGGTAGGTTTGGTAGATGTTGGAAATGGTTTCAATTGTCAGGTTTTTTGGAGGCTCATATGCTTTGGGAAATCGACCGCAGCCTTTCTCTATGCGCATGGAAGAGCCGAGCTGCCTGTTTGGTTGGTTCATTGGCATGGTTGGTTGGCCTGCTTGGCGGGAACCAGTGTCCACAAGTTTGTGTGCTGCTAGGCCGGTTCCCCATTTCAGTCGATTTCTGTGCATCCACAGTGTTTTTGGCCAACCCTCATAGGAGGGTTCAAAATGGTGGTGTCCAAACATCACTGCCTCCAACCTCACCCGCGATGCAGCAGCCAAAGCCTTGCAGTTTGCGAGGAGGAGGTGCAGCGTGTGTTGGACCAGCACGGTGACCTGAAAGAAGCTGTCGGCGCGCACCTTAACTTCACCGAGACCAGGCGTGGGAGCATGAAGCAGTCGGCATAGAAGTGGCGGTCCTGCCCTTTCAGTCACAAGCTGACGCCAGGCGGCGCTGTGGAAATTGCTTTTGTCACACAGGGGAACCAAGTGAAAACACACAACCCCATGACCCTCACAGCACACGTTGAAGACATCCAAAGGTGTGGTTCTTGCATGTGCATGATTGTTGAAGTTGTTGTTTCCAAGGCAAGGGTGCGGAAGGGACTCACACCCAACCCATGTCCTGCTCCAAACTCTTGGGTGTTGAAAGATAGGCGGGTTCGATCCTGCCAGGCTTCCTGCCAGCTTGGTGCAGGGGGACCTGAAGTCGGCGCTCCTGGAGCGTGCGCGTGCTGCCTTGGGTGACAAAGGCAAGGCGCTGGATGGCACGGTCCACGGCAAGACGCCGTGCAGGCCGGGGCACGAGCGTTGCCTTTGTCAGGGAGCGGAGCTGCGTAGGGCTGTTCAAGGGGCCTCTAAAAACACATGTCGAGCTTAGCAGACAGAACTTGCAACCGTGTGTGTGCGTGTGTGGCGGCGCAAGAAACGCCGATGCGCATGTGCTGCTCTTTGCAGCAGGTGCTCGTGTGCGAAATGCCTTGAAGTGTTTCCTTTCTTCGCGCGCACGCAAAACGAACCTGCTGCAAGTTGATTGGGGTCACGGCGCCAACACAAACTGCCTCAGCCGGCAGTGTGACACGGCGCCGAGGTGTTTCCCGGCCCGAGCGGCGGGGGGCGGGGCGGGCACGCAAAATCACATCAAGTTAGCCTTGGCGAGGTGCTTCATCGAGAAGATCAAGATCCTCGGCCAGAAAGTCCAGCTGGCAGACCTCGACCGCGAGCGCGTGGGCTGTAGCTTGGAAGCAA